CAGCGTCATGGACACTCAAGCTACCAATCAAACGGCTGGCATAGCCGAGACTAATTGCCAGGCCGTCAGCATGTGCGCAAATGACGGCCTTGCCTTCAAGCCTTTGATGGTCATTGCGACTTGGTCTTGACCGCACTGGAATCCTCGGAGGAGCCACGGTGCTTCATGGCTATCGCAACAATCAGAAGGAGGATTGTTGGAAACATGTAGACATGGACGTCGCGAATTGTCTCAAGAGCGGCTGTAATGATGACCTGCCAGGCCGTGCACAGGTTGCGCCCCATGGGTGAGAGGCAATGGCCGGAAGCGGATGCACATGAATCAGCCCCAGCCGATCTCAGACCATGGCGCGCCGGGCTATACGCACCTCTTCAGCATTGGGTTGGATCGCGGCCTCGAGCTGCGGCGCAATGGCACCCACAAAAAGGTAGAGCACGTAGCCAGCCAGGGTTAAAGAGACGAGGTCCAAACGGCTGGGGTAAAAGTAGGTCATGACCATGAGATCCAGAGCACCGACAATGATGCAACCAAACAAGACGGCCCGAAGAGGGAAGAAGTTGTGTGTGATGCGGTAATAGATCAGCGCCTCCTCCGTTGTCGCATGCTTGTCAATCTGCGTGGTCATGGCATGCATTCATTCACCGTGAGAGTGACCCATGGCCAGTGCATGGCACCCAAAGCTGGCAAGAGGCTCAAGTCCAGCAGCCCGCCCTACAAGCTCTTGACGCTGACGGTAGCGGGTGGAAATGTAGTACACGCACCTGGATGTCCACCAGGAGGATTCCAGCAATGATCATCAGACACAAAGCACCCACAGGTACCGTGTGAAGTTTGTTGACCGCCATGACCACGTCTTGGGATGAAGCTTGTCGGGTCGGGTGACCTTGGCAATCGGTATGGCAGTAACAAGCGGGGCAGAACGACGGGTGTCGAGTTCTAATGGCGCCAAACAAGCGAAAGAATTTGATTCGGCACAGCAGTCAGAGGCAGGAAAATGAGCAGGAGGACCTCGAGCCAGCGGGCCTCGACAGCGCGCCATCCACCCTCACGCGTTGTAACAGGCAGCGTGCCGTCCCATATCCCTTGCACATGATCAAAGGCCGGCATATCAACCCTCACTCTACCCATCGCCCACGCCATATCGTACCGTATGCCCGTCTCGCGCTGCCAAAATCCAAAATCAGTGACGTCGATGACCGTGATCCACACGATGGCTGGCACACTCCCTATTATGTCAGAAAAGGCTGTTTCTCTATGTCTCTCAACGTCTGTTTCTGTTACTCTCTGTTCCTCTGTTTCTCTCTCTGTTTCTCTCTAAGCTCTCTAAGCTCTAAGCTCTTCACTCTTTTGTCAGATAATATTTGTCAGCAAAACGTTGCAAGACGCCATTCCGCTCTCTCTCGATTTCCCTCTCTCTCTCTCTCCTCTCACGTGTGTTGTTGGCTCCTGTCGCTCGAGACGGGGGAGAACGGCAGCGCTCGGGGTGGGGGGTGCAGGCGAGGGATCCGGTCATAGAAAGACGATTGATGATCCTGTAGACAGTTTTCGTGGGTATCATGTGTCACTGGGGTTTCTTGTCCGTCTCATTTCATTTCCTATGCGCGATAGAACTCGACTCACACACAAGCATCATGGCCAAGCGCTTGGACGTGCTCACCCCGCTCGAGTCGGCAACCAGTCTCCTGTGCGTGTGCCCCCGCCTCGGATTGCAAACATGTGTCTTTACTCTGCTCAATGTGTCGAAATATAGCGCTGTCCTTGATGATGTGTGTACTTCTGCAACCCAGGGAGCTGGACGGCGTTCAGCTGTTCCTCGGAACCGAAACACATGGTACCGGTAAACTCTCCATCACCGATGTGTAAGTGCTTTCCAAAACCTTTGCACGTGCACGCCAGCCAAAGGCTTGAGCCCAGGCGCCCTAGGACAGTGCAGACACATTGTCATTCTCTCCACTCGCCACTCTCAACACCAGTGCTGTGCTGTCCCATCTCACCCAACAAATTTCAGCGACGTTGCTTGGTGGTCCGCCGATCGCAATTATGGGTATGCGGTCAATTACCCGGATCTGATGCTGCATGCCGTGTCGCGTGATGTGGAACGATTTCCCGAGCCCTGTGTCTTTTGCTACTTGGATCTGGAAGGCGATGATGCGTCTGAAGTTGGTGAGTCTCGCCTGCGCGAGGTGTTGTTCATGCTTCCTCAGTGTGGCTCACGTATTGCGACCCCTTTTACAAAAGATGAAACCGTGTCGGGTGAGGCCGAGATGCGCTTTGTGCCCGCCGATGCCAACCAACGTGAGTAGCTACGCCATTGAGGCGGATTGCGCCGCCTGCATGAGTGCGCTGCTCAGATGCTGTTCCCATCTCGCTCTTGACGGGTGCTTGTGCTGTGGGTTGTAGTTGATGCCATCTACACGGCCATGTGCCAGGGACAGGCAGCCAACCCAGACATGAACGGCGATGATGATGATGACGACGATGTTGCAGAACCTGAAGGTGAGTGCAAGTTGCATTCTTGCAGTATCATACGAGGAAGTTTCGGCTCTGACTTGGCCTTTTCTTTTGGCCTGGATGGCTACGATTAGCCGCTGGTGGAACCGGTTGGGTCTTTGCACCAGGCTTTGATCCGGCCTCTGTTGGTCTGGACGGGGCTGGGGCCATTACGGTGCTGGATGGCGGTGAAAACGGTGTTGATGGATCTGACGATGAAATGCTGCCCATGGCTGGTGGCCTGGCCAGTCGAGAGCTCAACGATGTCGGACAGGTCTGTTGAGCCGTATTGCTGTTTTATTCGCCTGATTTGAAACGACGTAGACATGCACTCAAAATGAGTACGCTTTGCTCTAGGCCAACTTCGATCGCATCGCAGCCGGTCTGCTGGATGGCATGGCGGGCGAGGACGAGGCGGACATGTTCGAGGATGCCGACTGAGTTGCCACAAGATAGAAACTGTGTGTCCAACTGCCAGAGGGTATAACTTGGGCTGATCTCCGGAAGAATAGTCGAAATTGGAACAGCAAAACATTGAAAGAAAGAAAAAAAGTCTTGATGATAAACAACACAATGCCAGATCACCTCAATTGCAACATTAGAATCTATGTTCGGGTGGACGAGGGGGAGGAGGGCTCAGGGAGTTGATGCAGAACAAGACGAAGAATGACGCTATGCGAAGCGGCGAGAAGGGGAAAGAAAAGATGAAGTAAAAGAGGACCATCCACGGGGAAAAAAAAACTGAGTGCAACAATGAAGCATGCACGGCGAGCAAACAAGCCCCCCTCCCCCCCCAAAAAAAAACACACAATAACGACGGTATGTGTCACAGGGCAAATCCCACAGTGACACGACAGCTATGACACTTATTGTTGCAAACCAAACTGCTGACGGCAGTTCTTGAGCTGCTCCGAGAACATTTGACAAGCCGAGAGGTCACCGCTAGTCTGGGAGCACTGAAGGAACTGCTCAAGCTCGTACTGGCAGGGGTTCTGCTGCTGGGGCGCTTGGCCATAAGCGGGCTGCTGGTACGCCTGTTGCTGCTGCACAGGTTGTTGCGCGGGCTGTTCGTTGGACGAGCCACTGAACATGCCGGTCATGGCATGGCCCAGCGTATGGCCAACGGCCGAACCCTAAGTGGAGGGCAGATCACACGTGCCGTCTGTTAAAACTCGGCGGTACCTGTGCGCTCATGCGCGAAGGTGCGGCAGAGAGGGTGCATGAGAGCAAGGTACGAAGAGCTTACGACAGCAACGGAACCGGCGGTGGCAGCCATTTGCGCCATCATGCCAGGACCCTGCGAGGGCTGAGCCATGGGTGCAGCGGGGGCCTGT